CTTATCCCCGTGCATATCTTTTGTGGTGTTCTGATCTCTTTGTTTTTTTTTTTACGTTGATGACTAAAGTTCAATCGTTGTTTGTTTAAGTGCTTAAGATGAAACATATCCGGAGTCGTTAGTCGAGTAGATTCACTTTCGTCAGAATGGTTTTGAAAGTTGAAAAAGAAAATAATACATGAAATTTTTATAAAGTTTTGCTTATATTCGAGTATTCACTAAGTTAATGGTAAGTTTCTATTGAAATTACCGTGTGTGACAGTTAGAAAGCTCAGTGAGAAGTTTTCATTTTCTCTTCTAACTTTGATTTGGTGTAAATGCATTTGCAACTTTGATGTTGTGTGTTTGGTACTATGCATCTTCCGCTATTCCACAAACTGTATATCATAGGAATATACCACTATGACGGTGTTGATAAGCATTAGCTTAGTTGCAGTACTTCGTGATATGCGATTTTACTTAATATTTGAGGTTGTTGCAAATATGAAAGTTCACCAAAAAGTTAGTAGCGATCAAATAGAACAATGTTTGCGCTACTTGTCGAACATTATTCCAATAATATTTCCTTTACCTCAGACTTCTGAAGTTTTGGAACCTTAACCTCAGTGCTGTCGTTGAACTTGAGTTAACCTGAAAATGAAAAGTTATGCTATTTTGAGTTGCAAAGTTGACGCATGTTGGGCTTCAGAGGTGCCTAATATAAACTACACCGTTTTCTACGGCATCGTAGTTGTGACGATTGGAAGTCTTGCAGTTAACCCTTTAAAGAAGTGATCAATCATTTGTAGTTGTGTTCTCCAAAGATTTCCGAAGACTCACCCAGAGTAACCTATGGCATTTCGTCTTAACTACGATGCAATTTTAAAATTGCGAAATTTCAGTGGCTCTCCTTAATGACCATATTTTCCGAGATTTGTTTTTCGTTCTAAATAATTTTAGTCGCTGTTGAAAAGTGCATGATCTGCTCTCGAGCAGAAATAGAATTAAAAAATTAGTTGAGATTTGAAGGGTTTTATATAGTTTTAAATAAAAGATAAATTTGTGGACTGCCAAAATAGGCCACGCTCAAATACGCCACCTAGTAGTGAGAGAGGGGGGAAGAAGGTTCAAGCATATGAAAATGTTTCCCTCTATAATTTATTATGAGGAAATTCATTTGGTTCATGGTTTAACTGCAAAAGTCAAGATAGGGTGTCAGATTAACGAACGACCGTCACGACAGTGAAGACGCTATGCTTTGCTGTTTGAGCTTCACCAAGTATAAATATTTCTAATTCATAAAAATCTCTATATGGAAATAGCAACTGGCGCAATATGTGCTGGAAAACAGCGTCAAGGTATGTTGAGGCAACGCGCATTGGCGCTGTATTTTCATAGAAGGCGCACTACAAACTTGCCAATCTATTCTAACATTGATTAAAACCTAAACAAAATAAATGAGTTGCGCAATTTCATGATGCAAGGTATCGCTACAAAAAGGAACTGCCTTAAAAGGATCAGATTCCCAACGGCCCCAAAATCGAATATATTACTGGGATACGAAGCTATGACAATATGTAGGCTATTATGACATTTAAGTAAAACTCAGAGAATTTATCTAATCAATCCATTCTGATCCATAGACCGATAATTCTTTAGCGACCTATAGCTGCAGTGCAGGAGTTCCTACGCTCCAATGGGAGTTTCTGCTCTAATGGCAGTGAATTCAAATTTGTCCTACATCGAAAGCATTTCAAATTTTCATAGTCCTTCTAATCATATTTTTAAAAACTATCATCGCAGGATTTATTTTACCGCATATTGGTCACTCTTCGGTTTCGTCTCGGTGCACATATCTAGTTTTTCATCTACAAACAATGGTTGCGAGCACAATTAAGAAAGGCGGGAGGTGAGCTCTTCTAGAAATTCAATCCCTATATACTTACATTTGAACGGTAACTTTTCTACCACTCATATTTATATACTTCTGCAGGTCACCACTGTCTAAACGCTCGGGACCGAAAACATCTTTCAAGCCTGCGAAGGAAAATGATAGAATTGCTAGGCTCAAGGCTGCAAGAGAGGCCTATAGGTAATGTAACTAGTAATTTAATGTCTTGTGCTGGCATTACGGAGATATCTAAATATAAGTTTTTTCTAGCAAATTGTCTATGGAGAGAGCAAAGCACACAGAAATCAGTCATAAACCGGGACCAAGTTGTCGATCCTCTTCTGTTCAGAGCCGTGCTAACGCGAGTCACAGCGAAAATGTCCCTCCCACGTATGTTGAAAGTTTAATTGTTTTGTTTTCTATCACAT